TAGTACAGTCCTACAGGAGGTCAGTGACAAACCTGAATACCTCAGTGGTGACGTCTCTAATTGCAGTACTCACTGGGTAACGCGAGTTCGAATCTCAGAAGGGACATGAGTTCCTTCGAGGTTGCAAATACGCTTTGCTGACTGGTGAATGTCAACTAGCACAACTCCAAGGTCAAAGGCTTCCTCCCGATTGCCTCCAACCATCTAATATCATCAAATAAGAGTATAGTATTATAGTCGGGAAACAATGTTTTCAAGGGTAGAAATATAGTCACAACACACTACTATGTAACCAACAGCAACAAAATACACCAATCGCTCTCACTGGGAAAGATTTGAAAGTAGTCATCTCTCCCACATATCTAGGCAGTATAGTTCCAACTACAGGCGATACATATGAGGATCCCAAAAGCAAGATTACAAAAGCTATGTTGAACTTCATCACTTTGAAATCAGTTTAGAAATCTGCTGAACTCAACAAAACATAAAAACCCTGAATTTCATTCAACACTAATGTCAAATCAATCTGTGAAGGAACTTAACCCTAAGTTCCTAATATTTTCGAAGACGCTCCGAACCGGTAATTACTACGATTGATTCTCGAGTTTAACTCCAAAACACCAGTACTTGTAAGAAAGAAGTTGTATTGTTTGGCAAATAAAATCAAGGTTAGTACATAGTATGTAAATAAATGTTTTACGATAAATGTGATGTACTTTTATTTGTATTCTTTCGTCTTCTTCCAACTTGTACACGATTGAACTATTCGCGCCTTCGAGTTGCCCGCCATTGGCTACCAGTTGCAATAAACAAACTTTCAATGTTCGCGTTCATTTACACAGTGCGTCTGTGTTGTTCAGAGGCTTCGAGAGCGATTCTAACAACCTGTTAAAGATTCCCAATAATATCTCTGTTGGTTCCATGCTGAAGATTAGATTATCAAAGCGAATTAACAACAAGTAACTCTTTTAGGCGATGAATCAATCAAGACTCTATCACCCAACAAATATGCTGGGGAAGGTAGAGATGTATCGAACACGCCCTGAGGAGATTCTTGAGTGTCATCACTAGCTAGGCCATCACTCCAGTGGAAATTAAATGGGTAACGACGAGTTATACATGTTTCCATAGGCAATATGGAGGATATCATTAGAGTTGGAGATGACAGCTTATGCATAATCATGGAGCCGACTAAAGGGTATGGCAGATAACAAGATGAAACGGAGGAGTAATGCTGATGACCTATTTTCCATTCATGAACTACAGGAATAATAATTTACACCAAAAATATTTTAAAAACGAATTGTTGTTTTAGCTGAACTCTCAACGGAAAGAGTTTATTTCACTGAGTAAACCAGATCACTTAAATTGAAACTTTCACTAATCTCATTGTAAATTACCTGTCAACAATATTACCAACCCTGAAATTGATTTTGAACATCTCTTCGGATATATAGTTTACTAATGCCACGAGTGGTCAGTGAATATTGTTGATTTCGGCTAGGCTTTTTAAGCCGAGGTATTTTTAAGGGTAAGGGTTGGTCTTGAAGGAAAGTAACTGAGAGTCAGAGCTTCCACTGACCCTACTAGCACATTGTGCGTCCACCCAGGAAACAACAAAGAAATCACCATTTCAGTTGATGTATGGGAGTAAACCACGACTAACAGTACTTGGCACAACCTGGCTCCTCCACCAGGAGTGTAATTTAACGAGGCTGCGAATGGGAACGAATAAAACCCATCAGAAATATAAGACGTGAACAGAAGAACTTGAAATCAGAGCAGGAAAAAAAGGTGGGATGCATAACCTTTGCGGTCAGCGATCAAGTAAAGTGTAGAGGAAAAAAGAACGTGGTTAGATGTGGGCCAGGTTCACAGGAACTCCTTCCGAAGTGGCACCGGCTATACACTGTCACTGAGAAACGTGGTCCCCTTTTGTACCATCAAAAGAGGAAACAAGCAGAAACACATTAACATCAGCCAACTGAAGAAGTGATTTCAGTGAGACAAGGAAATCAGGACCAAGGTACAACAGCTAGGAGTAGATCCAAGAAGTTAGGAGTAGCTCCGTTCGAAGCTATTTGATTAGGGGACGACTATGGCAAGTGCTACTGATAAGATTTATCAGTAGTACATAAAGAGATATTCGTCGGCATATAAACATTAAATAACAGGGAGATACATTTGATGTCAGGCTAAAAAAAATTATTCAGCGTCTCGGAGATACATGGGAAACGTGGAAGGAGCCCAGAGAAATACAATATCAGGGAAGGCCAGAAGTAGCACAATACGGAAGATAAAGTGTACGTAATTTGGCTATGTAAACATATCAAATTCCAAATAAACATTGTAACGATAAATGCAAGAGCCTTGGTAAAGGAATGTTTTCAAGAATTAGTTTATAGGGATTGTATTTGTTTCAGGTTAAACCGTGGATAGATATCAGCTGGAGAATCATTGAATACGAGAGAGTGTTGAGCAGCTGTTCCGTCCTAGCCTGAGACTCATAATGAAAATTATTCTGGTGATCGCTAGTAGCTAACTACAGGACGAAGGTGTCTGCAGTTTTCGGGAGAAGTTTTGACCCCTATTAGGTCCATCTAGTCTAGAGTGAGGATGGAGTCCCCACCGATGACACTGGTTTGTAGTCGCGCTAAAATCACTAATTGGTAGAAATTAGAATTCGTAGGCTGGCCACTGAATGTGGTCCCAGTAGCTGAATGGTATACGAGCTTTTCTTGTAACTGGTAGGTGCTGGATTCGAACCCTCCTGCTGTGTGCGTACTCCCGATGATTCCCAAACTAGGATGAAACAGCTATCCGGTATTCCCTGGTTTTAAGTGCTTCTCCAACTGACACTTATCCGTGGTGTAACCTTTAATCCCTGTAAACTAATTCTCTCGTCTTCTACCGTTACAATTTCACCGTCATTGTCTTCCATTTTCCTGGTATATCCTCTTCTCTTGGTCCTCATAAATTTCATTTGTAACCTACTATTCTAAATTTTGTAAATCACAGCTTAAGTATAAAGTTTCAATTTCTGTATCCTACCGGTATATTTTTTGTGTAAATTAATTAACTATTATCAATTATGTAACTTTAAACTGTTCACAGCTGTTAATAATCGTAGTGTAAATCGATTTTCGTCTGAAATCGAAATGCCTTATCGTCCTTATTTTGTTCATCATCACGAAGTTAACTATTAAGTAATTATAAAGCTATATTTTGACTTTTTTTATATAATTATGAAACCATTACATAGTACTTTCGGCTCCATTTGAAAAGATGAAACAACTTCTTAGACTATATTAGAACAACTGGCCACTCTGTCATTTTTAGAGAGATCTGAAATGCGTTTTAACGAATAGAAGAGAGAGAGCTGTGAACACCTTTGATCTGGCACCGTTTAAATGTTGCAAAAGTTAACTAAATTTTCAAATTTGGGTGGCAATAAAATAAATTGATTGCAAATATTGCGAAATTCCCAATATTGAGTTATCAACGACACAAGACATAATAGTGAAGGAAATTTTCTTTTCGACAAATCCTTTCCAACACGAGAGAACCAGGCAGGCTTTAGACTAAGAACACGGTGTATTGATTATATATTCACCTTTCGACAGATTCTTGAAAGTAGGCATAATTACCAGGGTCCAACAATCATCATATTCCTCCTGACCTGAAAGTCGACTGAGAGATACTATGGCAGAGTTTGGTTATGAAGAAAGTGCTGAGAAAGCACATCGTACTAATCAAGGTACACCACTCGAACTCATAAAGCTGTGTAAGAGGCTTTGGAGAGTTATCATCTGAAGTGACGGGAACTAATGGTGTCAGCTAGACAAGACTATTGTTCCCATTTCATCATAGATACACCAGTGAAATGGACTACAACTGACTTCAGTGACTTTGCATTAGATTTGTTACCAGGGAATAGTCTTGTTGGCTTAGAATATGCGGATGATTTGCTCATCCTTGTTGAAGACGCTGATAAAATGTAGGATTTTCTAGCCACCTTGAGAAACAGTCTTCGAGTGCTTGGCATGTGATTCCCTCCCTTTACCAAATGTAAGATGATGCTACAGGACTGAACTAGACTGACTCACTCCTAGCTTAAAGATAGACTGGAGTCAGATGGTAAAGCGTATTGACTAATTCACTTATTTGTGAAGTTGCGTCTTCCCCAAAGGGCTGATTGGTGAAGAAATTTCAGCACGGATGCAGAGAGCCTATTTGGCATTTGCTTGCCAAATTATGCTATCTCCCACGTTGACGTCATATCCAGTTAGCTGTCGACCGCAGGGCGTGTGTACTGCTCAGAATTCCATCCTATCCTCCTTCATTGTCATGAGACCTGGTCATTTAGAGTGGAAGACATAAACATTCTGGCTAGTTATCTCTGACTATAGGTATCTTAATTCTGTCTCCCCTGTGAATTCGTATAATAGGGTGAGCATTACTGAGGTAAGACTAGATAAGGAAGGAAAATCAATCAACAAAGTTGTGAAGCAGTTACACCGACTGAGATGGTTAGAACATGTGTTACCCATGTATGCCTAGCCTTCGATCGCCTTCCTTGACAATCAATGTTAGTTGACCCATACAGGATAGATCAGGTTGGAAAAGGGTAAGCCAGTGGTGGTTAAACCAAAACATGGCTTCATCAATCAATCAAATCTACAACAGTTAGTTTAAACCAGCTAGCCAGCCCACCAGTCACGCAGGGAGGTGTTGACTGGCTTCCTGGTTGGTGGTAATCAAGTTGCTAAGATCCAGTGGTTGGAGACAATCGGTGATATGCTTGGCTTTAAATCGTTCTCAATGTCTGCTGCAGATGCATTCACTTTTTGTGACTTATAACACCTAATAAAATTCTATTGTTCTTCCATATTTCTGTTTTGTTTACCTCACACTTCTGTTTACTATCTCTCTTTACACTTTTCTGCTGCTTTGTGTGGTACATAAAGGGAAAGTGGGAACTGGAACTAGTGCACATCTATTCAAATTTCTACTTTGAAAGCAGTCAGTCTTTCTACGAGTTTCACATTCATATTTATATTTAACAAGGTATCCATAAAACTAATCATCGGCGAAGACAGGACTTCAGATGAATATAAAGAAAACGGAGATGATGACGACACCTTATGATCAACTACAATAGCAATAGCATCAAGCTCATCGATGAAAATTATAGCTGGTGCATTTTTCTCTGCTTCTTCAAACGCTTTGCGCAAGTTAGATTCTGACTCTCCAGCCAATTTTGACATGATTTCGGGCCCATTGATTAAGAAGAAAAAGCTTCCACTCTCGTTAGCTACTGCTCGTGCAACTAAAGTCTTTCCAGTGCCAGGAGGTCCATAGAGTAGTATACCACGTGGAGGTTTAACACCTATAGCTTTGAACAATTGTGGGTGACGCAGAGGTAACTCCACCATCTCCTTGATTTGTGCTAGTTGTTTGTGGCAACCTCCAATGTCATCGTAGCCTATTTCGTTCAATCTTTCTTCTTCATCCTCTCGTTTCACAGGGTCACCTTCTGTATGTATAGTAGTATCGGGTGCAACAATGCAATAGGGTGAAGGATCTGTTTCAGTCACTTTGAATTCAACGGCGCGCATTCCACCACGTACAATGAAAACGTCATCTTTACGAATAGGTCGGTAGGCAGCCAAAAAGTAAGGCTTTATGAAGACTTCATATAGATTCCCTGTAAGACCAATTATTGTGTCGTCTATGGGCAAAACGTGAATTCGCCTCCCATAGACTATATCAGGGCGACCGACAACTGTCACAATATCTCCGATTCTCACTCGCAAATTATTACGCACGCATCGGTTAAAACGAATCCTATCATCTTGACAAGTCTCGTCTACTAGAGCCACGCAGACTGTATCTCTCCGTTTCTTTCCTTTTATAGTCACCGTATCACCATGAAATAGCTGCAACTCATCCATTTTCGCTTGAGACATTGAAACCACTTAGTTATCATCCTTTAAAGTATCATCAACCATCAAGCGATTGGGCTTGCGTTTCTTATCGACCAATTTATCGCTAGCCTGGTCCTTCTTAGGTGTGGACATTTTCAGTAGAGCTTCCACCTTTCTAGACAGAAGAATCGTTTCAACTACAGATGATGGCATGGATAATGATGTCAAAGTCAGCAAAAAAAAATTCAGATTTTAAACAGCAATGCTTAGTTAACCACTTCTTCTATATGGGCCAGAAACTTGATTCGTCATGAAAAGTGTTTCTGACTTTTATCAACTACAGATCCTTTTGCTCGATGCTGAAAAAAAATTACCAATCGGAAGGTGTTAACAACATGAAACTCTGCTAGTGAACCAACCAGGAACTTATACCGAAAGAAACGCAGATAGATTGGACACACACTGAAAGGAATTTTGGGTGACATCGAGGGCTAGACAGGCACCTGAGTGGAATGTGAATGAGAAATGAACAGTTTGGTATGCAAGGATGACATAGTAGAGGTTGTGTAAAGAAGAACTGCGTCCCAATGGGCAATTTTGTGGGCATCGGCTAAGGAGAACTGCCAACAACAGGTTGAAATGTAGATGTGCTTTTGATGCCTTATGTTCCACTCGGAACCAACGGGAGTAATAATGTTATAATAGTATTGCCAATTGTATTTTAGAAAACACATTACATAAAGTGAGGTTGAACCTATAAACGGACAACTAAGTGAATACTAAGAAACGGAAGTTGGAATTACACAATAAGTGTGGAGAATTATCTAATCACAGTTAGTGGAAAAAATGAATAATGGCTAAAAAAATACGGTAAAGTATGAAAAATACAGTGTTATCAATTAGCAACAATAATGGTAATAACGATTATATAATAAATGTGCAAATAATACTGAACTAAAATATCAAACGGTTAAGACAAGAAAGTTACTCTCGCCATGGTATTGTTAAACTTTTCTGTTCCTTTACGTTTCCAGTGGAGCATAGGTCTTCAACCTAGAGCTATGGAGTTCTGACAGCAGTGGGGTTGCTAATCTCATGCCCAACCTCGCCTCCTTACCAGTCTTACTACTAAATTTGCGAGGAAAGGAGTGAGTCATCTCGGGACCGATCCTCGAACCATATTAGGCATGGTTGGTAGGCATTCTACCGCTGTGCCACTCACGCACCTAGCCATGATGAGGCGAGTAAAATCTAGTGTACATGTAATGCTTTTGAACACAGACGTCTGACCCCAGATATGGATTCACTGGTCAAACAATGTAAACCAATATAAAGGTTTCATGTATTTCAGTGCAACAAGAAAGACCAGGTTCTCAGTAAATAAAAACAAATCACAGTACTTCATTTCATAGATTGTAAACTACAACAGTTATAAAAAATTACATTTCAGTGTTTGGATAGTAACAGTAAAACTGGTATAGATTAGGGCATCCAAAACATCAACATTACAAGTTTCAGCTCAAGTCATCGTCAGCTATTTAGCATGGCCAAGTAGAAAGCAAGGATGAGAAGAAGAGAGAAAACAAAAGAAATAATGAAGATCTTTGTTGTCTATCAGGTTAAGAAAAAACCTTGGGAAGATTTCAACTCATAATCTCTGTGTGCACCTACTTTTTCATATATCCCTGTGAAACGGATTACATTAGACTTAGAAGGTGTATTCTTCGTAAATGAGTACCTAAGTACTGTCATGGTAGAAGACGAGAGATTTGGTAAAGAATGTTTATTTGCGATTCGGTCCTTCTATATTAGTCAAATTATGTACACCTAATCTTCAAGTCACCGTTTGCACAGGTCGTCTTCCGTGTTGTCTTACTTCCGGTCTTTATATTGTGTATGTTTCTTGGTGCTCCTTTCAAGCCTCCAATGTATTTTTGCAAAGATGAATCATTTGCTCTCTCTGACATCAAACCTATCTTCTTGTTATTTGATGTTTTTTATGCCGATGAACGTCTCATTACATACTAATGATAAATCTCATCAGTAGCACATGTCCAGATAACTACCCCGGTTTGGTTTACGAAAGTTTAAGCATAGCATGAAGAAGCCCTCGATTTTTTTAAAACCTTATAGGGTCAGGTTATTCAGCTCTGTGTGATTCATTCTTTAAATTTATATACAGGGCTAAAATTCAATCACTCTAATAGCTAATGTTTACTTTACTAATGACTAGCTGAAAAGTTTGCTATACATGGACAAAAATTTAAACTATGTATTTAAAAACGTTTTACTAAACACCTTTCTTCATTTTGGTCACAGTAATGTTCTTTTTATTTTACCACTTCAAGTCATTCAAATTCACTTCATATTCGCCTTGTAGGGGACTAATATTAGAGTTCACTAGTATCACAAATATGAGAATAATAATTCAAGTCAATGGAATGTTAAATAACAATATATTACCAAAAATGCAGTGATGAGTTATATCAACAAAAAGGATTACTTGGATACAAAGTTGAAGTCCTCTGCTACAAATTATTTATATATTCCACGGGTACGTTAATTGTTTGGACTGCGTCTGCTGTAGCTGCTGTATTCCGGTTGTAGAAATGTCTTCGGTTGAGAGTAGTAGACTCCTACAATAAATTCGAAGTATACAACACGTGTGAGTCGAGCAAGTAAGCAGAAATAACCAGGGAGAAGACGAAGTCTCCAACAGCAGAGTGTATTTTCAATTGTCCACGGAAGTAATGCATATTTCAACAAGAAGCGTTTTAAACAAAAATTATGTACAATATCTCTAATTTCTACAAATAACCAAAAAGTGTACAATCACATTGTTACGTACTCCACAGCCTTCTTTACTGTTATCATTATCACATTTTTAATTTTTTGGCAAAAGTCACCGAAAATACCCATTGAGTCATGAAGAGAATAAAAGACAAATTCAGTGAAGAAAATTTTCTTTATCAACGAAATCATCTTCACAGGGACTGTACAATCGTATTTATACTTACCAAAAAAATATATAGTGGTCTATTGTTGAGTAATAGGGGGTGACATAATTGATATAATTACTCATAAGTGGCTTTAGAAGTGAAAATTAAAAGTTGTAAATCACCTGGTACTCAACGACACAAAGATAGAAGTTTGATAAGGTTAAAATTGCTACTGAGTGAGAATAAAGGTATTTAAGTGTCAGATTTAACAAAGTGTGAAGAAGGTGTGAAATGTACAGAAGTATATGAGAGTAATAATCTTGTGAAGCTCTTGTGGAGCTGTTTATATTGGACGTTGTAAGCGTAATCTCCGAAAACGTGTAGCTGAACACTATCCGGCTTGGTTAATGAAAGGCGAACTTAGAACTGCAAAGTCGTCTATTTGTGATCACCTGTTAGAGTCTGGTCATTTAGCCCCACGTGATTCATCTTTCAAAGTTATATACATGACAAAATCGAATCGATCCAAAAGTTTACGTTTTCTTCACTTATGCATAGCCGAAGCTTTAGCTATACATGAACAGAAACCTAAAGTATGTGTTCAAAAGCGTTTTGTCAAACCCCTTTCTTTACCTTGGTCATAATAATATTCTTTCTAGTTTTTATTTTATTTTACCACTTGAATTCTTTCCACTTCACTTCACATCTTCATTCTTATCGTAATCGTACTCCTAATTTTCAAAATTTTTAGACAACACTTGACATTTTTGTTCTAGAACAATCTTTAATATTTTTGTAATTTATCCACTTCAACTCTACCCTTTATAACTTTTATCACATGTATACGTACATTGACTGAGCAATTATTTAGTGCCACTTAATAACCTTTTTCTGTAATATAAATACGACTGTACAGCTTGAAAATGAAGTCGTTGAAAAGAAATTTCTTCGCTGAACAAAAACTGTGTTTTTACTTATGAATAAATAGGTATTTTTCGAGAATCTTGAATTAATTATTAAGGCAAAATCTTAATTCTCGAGCGTTTGGCCAACTCAGGCCACGTATCTCCGTCAGAGTCGTCTTTCAAGATCATATACAAGGTGAGAGAAAATGGTACAAAGAGAGTCAGGCTTCGGCTTTTGTGTATGACGGGGGCGCTGGCAATTCGTTAATACAATCCTGAACTCTGTAGACGGAAAACAGTTTGTCCAGTATCTTATTCTACCTTGGTCTCAACGTCTTCACAAGTCGTTCCCTGTTTAAAATTTTAATTTTTTCTTTTTTTGGTTTTCTATGTTAATTTTTAGTTTTCTTTCGCTTTAATAATTAATTCACTATTATCACTGTCACATGCTTCTTTTGTATATTTTCACACCCTCTTCACATTTGTTAAATTGACACTCAAATACCCTTTTTCTCACTCGACAGCAATTTTAACCTTATCAAATTTCTAACGCTTTCTTCCTTTGTGGCGTTGAGTACCACGCAATTTACAACTATTAATTTTCACTTCTAAAGTCACTTCTGAGTAGTTTTATTAATTATGTCACTCCGTAATACTCAATAATAGACCACTAAATATTTTTTGGGTGTGTCGGTGGCACAGCTGTTAGGACACTCGCCGACTATGCGCATGGTCCGAGGTTCGATATCCGGCTGACGCACTACTTTACCTCGCTAAGCCAGAAATAATACTGGTAAAAACGAAACGTTGGGCATGAGGCTAGCAACCCCATTCTGTAAAATTAAACACTGCTACAGAAACTTCAAGCCACTAGCTTGAAGCCCTATGTTCCACTGGGAACGTGAATGAATATATATATATATATGTTGGTAAGTAAAAATACGACTGTACAGCCTCTAAAGATGATTTCGTCGATAAAGAAAATTTTCTTCGCTGAATTTGTCTTCTACTTTTGGCAAAATTTGACATAATTATAAAGACTTAATACTAATTCACCTAATAAATAATCTTTGAAAAGTTTGATTGAGGGCCAACATCAGTTAGAGGATCATTCAAAACCAGCTGGGACTATTTCATACCAGTCCGCCACTCATGGGTAGCACGGAGCTATCATCAGCGTTCAAACTCACCGCCTTTC